TACAACGTCGTTGCCAAGCGACGAAAACCCAACCCCGATGGCAAACACCGGGGAGACATGGAAGTGGGGGTGCAGAAAAAGGGGGGGCAAGCAGGAGGTATCTACAGGCTCCCTTTGAGGCTGACGAAAACCGCTCGGTTCACGCGCTTCAACGGGAAGAAGGGGAGGCCTTTCGCGGCAAATACGGAGTCGAAGGCATTCACAACCTCCATCTTGTGGCGCACGCAAGCGAGGAGGTACATGGCGGCGGTTGGCACTTGAATACCACCCGCAGGGCCACCCGAAAAAGTGGCAGAGAAAACGTACGGGATAAAAAGCGGGAAAAAGGCTTGCTGCTGTACAACAATACATACATCAGGGTTTCCCAATATGGGGAGAAAAGCGGCATTCAGACTCATGCTAGAGATCGGCTCACCTGACAGCCATTGCGACCGCGTAGATGAGAGCTAACCGAGTGACCAGGCCCTGTCCGGCGATAAGGTCGAAGGATAAACAGGGCACGGTTGAAGGCACGTCATTGATGGTCGAAGGTAAGCACAAGCTACCTAACGGCGCTAAAATGTGCTGGGTCACGAAATTAGCGGCCACTGCTGGTCCTCGTTTGGACCTGGCCCTTGGCCATCAGTTTTGATCAACTACTGTTTACTCTTAGCGAGAACGGAGGTAGTTTCGCCTCAGTTTTGATCAACTACTGTTTAGTCTTGGCAAGAATGGAGGTGGTTTCGCCATCAGTTTTGATCAAGTACTAATTACTCTCAGAAAGAATGGAGGTAGTTTCGCCGTCACCAGGAGTCTAGATTTGGAGGCAACCTAAAAAAGGCGTGAAACCTTGAATGGGTCGTCGCTGGTGCGACTTTCTCGTCGAACCACCAAATTCGTGCAAGCGTCCATGCCGAGTAGATCCACGCGGGAAAATATCGAGTGATACGATCCACTAATTGGAACCCGAGTCCTGATGATTTGGTGTTGAGAGCTGCGAACAGCAGTCTTGAACTGACAGCGCTCTCGGCTGCGGTGACATGAAACAACCAACACGTACCAATACCTGCGTATGGAAATTTTCACAGGTTCGTTCTGTAGGGTACTGATACTTCTGTAGGGTACTGGGAGAGTTACAGAGCTGTTTGTGAAATCTCTGTAGGGTACTGGGCGAGTACCGAACGTTCTGTGAAATCTCTGTAGGGTACTGGGAGAGTACCGAACTTTCTGTAAAATCTCGGTAGATACTGGGGAGAGTACCGAACTATCTGTGAAATCTCTGTAGGGTACTTAGGTCTCACAGAACTCCTCTGTATGGTACACAAACAACGTACCTACAGACGAACCCGGTACTTACCCCGATAGTAGCAGCGTCACAGGACATCACGTCCTGCACCGCACAAAAGGACGTCTGCACCGCATGAAACACAATACTGATATTATACTCCGAGATCAACGTGGCTCCGTGCATTCTGATTCTACCCCACCCTACAGCGGCGCCACCATTGGTCTTCCTCATCAACTATAATTAATGAAGCTGACACGAAAAAAAAAAACAGTTCGACTACACCTGACCTGCGGTTGCCTTGGCGCCTCCTCCACTCAGAGGTACAGCAATCAAAACCGCGAAGAACGACAACAACAGAATCAACAATCAACCGCCGTAGCTACGCAGCACTAAGCCTCCGTTGTTGTCATTTGGAGCGAAAACGCAGTGCACCAAAGCAAAACACAAAACACGTACGGCTGTTTCTGTTTCACCCTCGCCTCCTCCACCCCCAACTGCTGTACTTTGCGCCGGGGAGACGCTGCTGCTGAGGTCTGCACTCTCGCTCATGTTCCTCTCAAGCTATGTGACCGAAAGGAGTTCTGTGGAGGTACCTAGTTCTAGTTCTGTGATCGCCTTCAAGCTTTTTGTGGCTGCGGGGCAGGTGGGGTCTTCGGCGCAATCCTGACGTCATACTTCCGAGGGTACTACTGTACAGAACTTTTCGGTAGGGTACTGGAAGAGTTACAGAACTGTTTGTCGGTAGGGTACTGGGAGAGTACCGAACTTTCTGTAGAATCTCTGTATGTGCTGGGGTCTCACAGAACTCCTCTGTAAAATCTCTGTATGTACTGGGGTCTCACAGAACTTTTCGGTAGGGTACTGGGAGAATACAGAACGTTCTGTGAAATCTCTGTAGGGTACTGGGCGAGTACCGAATGTTCTGTGAAATATCTGTAGGGTACTGGGAGAGTACCGAACAGTCTGTAAAATCTCGGTAGATACTGGGGAGAGTACCGAACTATCTGTGAAATCTCTGTAGGGTACTGGGGTCTGACAGATCTTCTTTGTAGTGATCTGTCGGTACTTACAGAGGGAAAATACCGCCGGTACCGATCTGTGAGTACCCTACAGAACGGACCTGTGGAAATTTTGACACACTTGACGCCCGGTGCTGATTTCTTATCGAGCCGGCGGTCAAGGTCTTGACTAGAGGGTGCGTCAGCGGCGAAGAATAGTGAAGAATGACAAAAATGAAAATTCTCGAACAAGTGAAAAAGCGTTCGACTATCAAGCAGTTCTTTTCGGTTTGTGCTGGCCGACATCAGACGTGTCCTGGTACCGACCGACAACCATTAGTCTGCTCCCCCCCTCCGTCCTATCAAGTAACACCAGATGAAGCCGCATCGGTCGCCTAAGTAGCGTCAGACAAAGCCACATCGCCCCACACCGAAGAAGCGTCAGACAAGGTCACATCGTTCCCCACCGAGGTAGCACCAGACTTCGGTGGGGACCGATGCGGCCTTGTCTGACGCTACTTCGGTGGGGAACGATTGGCCTTGTCTGACGCTTCTTCGGTGTGGGGGAGATGTGGCTTTGTCTGACGCTACTTAGGGTGGGGACCGATGTGGCTTCGTGCATCGCGACGGGCATTGGGTCCTTTGTCATCGGAAAAATGTCGCAAATACGAGCCCGCGAAAGCAAATCTCTCCCACCCTCCAATCGTACCGCAGGGTTGTGTTTATGCGGTGCACTGCTGTCCCGACAGAAGCTAGTGTTGGACTTGCCGAGATACATGTGGCATTCTTGCCCGTCGTCGCTTCCTCTAACCTGATCAGGTGCTACTACTTTTATCATATCATAAACTGATAAAATAGTGAGAGATCGGAACGATATGAGTGGTGCCACCATGTGCATCGGAAGCCGAAACAACACGTTCCCTCAATCGACCCCCCTCCCACCCTTTCGCTCCGCGCAATGGTGGAAAGCGAGAAACAGCTTGGGTGGCTATCTTGGGGGGGGGGGTTAACCACCTAACCACGCATCAACCAAAGCCCGACCCTTACTCGCAATCTCTGAGACACATCACAGGCGTTGTCAGCGATCCGCCCCGACAGGGCATGAGAGAAATGGTGATTGCGGCATTGCGCAACCCCGTGGACCACGTCTTTTGCCCTCCAGGTGTCTAATGACAGCGAAGAGGTGGACCAATTAGCTGGCAGTAGGAAGACGGGCCGTGAGGACAAAAAGCTACGACGGTCCCACACTAACCTTGGAATCCTCCTGCGCCCATCCGAACAAGGGGTCCTCCTTGAGCTCCTGCAGCTCGTTGAAGGGCTGCTGGTCCGTGGGCACGGTCCTGGATTTGTCCATGCGGCGTCGCACGCGCACTCCGCCCCTATCCTGCATGCCTGGTCGCCTGCGCGAGAGGAAGTCGAACCCTTGCTCGCCCCCATCTAGCTCAACAAGATAGCCGGGGGAGGGAGACGGAGAGAGAGAGAGAAGAGAGAGGGAGAGAGACTCTTTTCAGCGGGTTTGGAGGACACCTGCAGGACTGCATACTTACAGTTCTGCATGTACACTGAGGCAATGACTGAGAAGGCAGCAATGCATACAAGCCGGACTGTTATTTGGTGTCGGTTCGTCACGCGTGCAACAATTGCAGGGCGCGCCGCTTGCCCTTGCAGGCCCGGGGAAAACAGCAACACGCCAGCGGTCGGGGGAATCATTTTCAGAGCGCGACGCCAAATCTGTAGTGGTTCGATTCCTATGTAGCAAACTCGTTGGCATTTAAAAGCGATATGGCATATACATATTCTCGTTCGATTGTTAAGCGTGTGGCCATGGCGTGTGCCTCGAATCCCCATGTCCGGAACAAGCACCCATGATATTTTGTCCTTGGAAACAGTCTCCGCAGTACGCAGCATTTCTACAGCGGAGAAGCGTGCGAAGCCACACTACTAGAGTAAGAGGTACGCAGAGATATCAAAAAAACCGCCTCCGAGGCGTTGGTGACAGCTGATCTTCCACCACGCACAACACGCAGGACGCGTGTGTACTGCGGTACGCCTTGGCTAATACTAGCAGGTGTTTTCAAACGTTTGCTCAAATGAAATTGTTACGCAATCCGCCGGAGCCTCACGAATACTGCTGCGGTTATTGTGAATTGGGACAGAGAAAATGCAACCAAAACATGTGCAAAATTCCACGCTGGAGCGTTTTAAACCTGCTCGCTGCACGTACTACATCAGGGTGACACGGAGATTATGTAGCCTTCGCATGCCGAAAATAATACAGAGGTGGGCAGCCCGCGTCTTCCGCCAACAACCCAGAATCCTGAATCCTGCTGTTGAGAAATTGAGTTGCAGAAAACGAGTCAGCACTGCTGCTGCTCCCTGTGGAATTCAAGCCGCAACTGCAACCCCCACCCCGGATTGTTGTTATGTACTGCTGAAGACCTTGCACAAAAGCGCACACCCGCCGTAAAACGCAGACATCAGTGTATGCCGCAGTTGCCAACTGCTGCTGCTGTGCGGCGCACAACAAAGTCTTGATCGAGCACGAGGTCAGGGAGAGCAGATGGCAGACGGACTTGAATCTGAGAAGCAACGAGGGGCTGTGTGATAGGTGGACCTGCCACACTCATCGAACCCCATCACATCCTCACCGAGATCTTCCGGCAGGTCTTCTTCTCTCTCGCCCTCTCGTGGGCGAGGGGGCTTTGCGGAAACAGCACCCACGGGCGATGTACGTGGCAGCCGGCGGGGGGAGTGACATGATGATGATGATGACGGGGCAAATGCCCTCGAGCCCGTGATCAGCGCGAGAAAGAGCAGCGATGTATTGGCAAGCGCCAATCCCATGGTGGCAAGCGATAGCCAAGCGAAGAGCCCTGGGTTGTCAGGGCGCCAGGATGAGCTTTGACGGCAAGCACCTGGTAAGCAGGGCGCCGTAGAAGCGCTAGCAGGAAGAAGTGTGTTGTCCATGCCCTGTGCCTGTGTGATGATGCGAACGCGCGCGCAAAAAGTCGGACAAACGCCTCCCGAACCCAAACCGAAAAAAAAAGCGCACCAGACTGTTCGTTGCTGTTGTTTCTCACATTAGCTCTTAAAAAACCCCGTGGTCTCAAAACCCCCGGGCATACACGACCCCACGAAGAAACAGAAAAAAATAAGGTACAAAAAACCACTCGGAAGAGAAACAAAATGATAGAAAGAAAGACCAGCTACCGCACCAAACGA